TACCTTGGTGTTAACCAAACTGCGACCTGCTGGATTTATCTTTACAAGGTTCAGGACAGTACCAAGCTCTTGTAAATGTTACACCTGAGTATCTTCAGATTCTTGTGAGGTGTTTGTGCATGTTCTAACAGAAAAAGAAAGCTTGAACTCCATCCTGGTTCTCTCTAGAGGGGTGCTGAGGGCTGCAGTGGGCTCCTGCTTTGGTGGAACGCGTCCACTGACATCTGGACTTTGGAATGTCTCTGGAGGAATCAGGAGTGTCAAGGGCAGAAGGGGGGTTTGCTATTCCAGATGTGCCAGCCTCTTCCAGGACTGAGGAAGCCATCAGCCTGACCTACTTTCTGCTGCATCCAAAGCAAGGAGTCAGAATGAAGGCAAATTAAATACATATATATATATATATATATATATATACACACACACACACATATATACCAGACCATCCTGGTGATGTTGATGCATGATGTCAACCACTGGCAAGGCAAGGTGGCTCAACTTCAATATTAGCTGTAGTTGTAGTAACCCTAAGATACAGAAATTACCCCACGTGAACGGGATTGGATTAACTTCCATCTAAAGAGGTGTTTTGATAACTCTGACAGATCTGACACTTTTTCACTTGTCTGCTCTCCTCCTATCCCTTTTTCTGCCCATTTTTATTTCTACCATCCACCTTTAAAGTCTGTATATATCGTGCTTAAACCCCGGGCTGGTTCCCGTGGAGTTCCACGGGCCAGGGCAAGGCGCTGGGTTTTTACGGCAGCCGCAGTGGGTTCCAGCTGGAGCCATAATTGGTATTTCGGCTTGATAGCTGCTGTAAATCTCCAAGAAGGGAAGAGAAGGATGCTCTCATTTTGTTAGGCTGCCTCTCTTTCGGATGCAGAGTGCATCTTCCAGCTCTCTGGGCTAATTAAAATGCCATTACAGTACATGTGGTGCTACAATACAGTCTAGGGAGACTTCCAAAAATAGATCCTTGAGTGCAGACAAATTAGAGAGGAAATATGCACTGAGCATTTTCTCATAGGTTTAAAGAGAAATAATCCATTTGCTGCCCTAATTGCTTTCTTGTAAATGTTGAAGAATTTCCCCCCCTGTAAATTTCGAGTGAGCAGACAAATAAATAACGCGCCCATGATAATTAGCGTTCTCATTACTAATATTGTAACTTGTTACACATGCTTGATATGCAAGTCAGGGTGTTCCAGTGGCCTGTGCTTAACGGTCAGGGGTGGAGACTTTTTATTCTTCAGGCAGCCTGCTTTAGCTGCCTGGCATCCCAGGGCTCCAGGGGCAGTGCATGATCTGGTTTTTAAATTCAGCCGAATGCTCGAGCAGAGCCACCCACAGACCCTTCCCAAATCCTGCCAGGAAGTAACGCAGATAAATCCTGTTTGCACATCGTCCTTCCCCCCCTGCCCAGCCTGGGTACAAAATGCAAGGTGCTTTTTATAGCCTGCCTGTGGATACCGAGAGCAGGGGGAAAAGAAACCCCACGCTCCTGGGCCTGGAAGAGATCCATGGAATTGCCGTGGGCTGACACGTGTAAGGGAGACAGCCCAGAGCTGCTGGGCAGTGCCAGCACCAGCCAGGAGCTCTTGTGTGCTGCAGCGCCTGGGCCTCTCTGTCAACAGCCTGATGGAAAGGGATGAGGCTGGTGCTCGCTTGTAGAATGCCAGAATGATTTAGGGCCTCAAAGCTCATCCCATTCCACCCTCTGCCACTATCCCAGGGGGCTCCAAGCCCCATCCAGCCTGGCCTTGGGCACTTCCAGGGATCCAGGAGCAGCCACAGCTGCTCTGGGTGCCCTGTGCCAGGGCCTGCCCTCCCTCTGAGTGAATTCCTTGCCTGCTCAGAAGCCCCTGGTCACTGTTGTGCAGTGAGGTGCTGTCCAGAAGATTTATGAGCAAAGGAGACAGAAGTTGGCCGAGCGGCCTCAAATTTGCAGCATTGGCAGAAAACTGCTCATCCTGAAAAATGTCTCTGGGCCACTCTGTTGTCTTCCCTCAGTGGAGAACTGAGTTCTGTGGCCCCTCTGTCTCATTTTTTAAAATCTTCTCTCTGAGGTTTCTCTGGGCTGCCCACAGTTCATCTCCAGGTGTTGAAGCTAAAGCTGTGGCCACCGAGGCTGTCACATCCCCGAGGGATGTCCTTGCACGTGCCCCTGTAGCACATCTGGGAGGGAACTTGGATCCTCTGCATCGCCACTGAAAGGGGAGTGCTTGGCTTTGGAAAATCCTTTGGCTTTTCCTTCTTTTGACTTTGCTTGGCCATTTGTAGTTGTACATTTTCTATCATTATCACAGCAGGAAGGTTTCACTCCTTTGTCACTGCATCTCCCACCCATCTGGGTTTTTTAGTGTTAATTCTGCATTTCAAGCTCCAAAAAGACAAATCTGAGTCAGTAATGCCAATCTTTTCTACCTCTTGCTCCTGCCTTTTTCCCTTGTTCTCCTAAAGTTTTACTTCTACACCTCTGTAGAACTTCTCCTGTGCTCAGGGTGTCCTTTAAAGATCATTTTTTAGCTGCTCGTTGCTTTGCTCCAGGAATGCAGGTAGGCCAGGGTGATTTGCATCAGGTTGAAAGATCTGAATACATGGAAAACTATTTAAATAACCTCTTCGTTCCCAGTTCTGCCCTGCATTTTTAAGCTTATCATAGTTAATTATAGTCAGGCTGCTTGCATTTTTCTTAAAGATCTCATTGAATGTTTCAGCCTTCCATTTCACTTCATTTCTTGTCTCTTTTAAGTGGTGAAATCGTATTTCCCTGTCCTCATCTGGTTTAGTTCTGCCCTGGATGGACTTGGTGATCTCAGGGGTCTTTTCCAGTCTTGACAATTCTCTGGTTCTGTGAAGTTGTTCATTTTGCTGCTTCATCTTTTCCAAGGGTTTTTATCTGTCATGTTTCTGGTTTATTCTGGACTGAACTTGTAAACATTTTGCCTTTGTTTTGCTATTTTCAACATCTTTAAATCCTGCAAGCTCAGCTGCTTCCCAACCTGTCCTGGCTATATTTTCTGAAAAACCTAAACAGCTCTTTGGAACAGATTAGGAAAAAAAAAAAACCCAAAGCGTTCAAGTTTCCATCAATGAATTACGGCTTCATCCTGTTAATTAATGAGTAGAAATGCCCATCTGGAAATGAAGCTGCACGAAATGCTCCCTGACTCAAGCCATGAATCAGCCAGGCTGGTGTCTGCTTCCCTTCAAGCTCCGTGGACACTTTGCTGCAGAGTTTTGGGGAAATCATCAGGCTGATTCATACAGAACCCAGTTGAGGCGATGTTTCCTTGCCAATTCTGTTCAGTAGCTTAGGACCAATTTAGCCAGCAGAGAGCTGGGGAATATTTTGTAGCTTGTCTGGGCTGTCTCAGTATTCAAACCAGGGTTTGTGGCTTGTGAGAAGAATCAAACCCTGATTGCATGGACTGACCTCTTTGCACTGCTCCAGCAGCTCCACATCCTTGTGCTGAGCGAGTACTCCAGAGATTTAGAGCTATATTTTATATCTATTTTATATTTGTTTTATTTTATTTTGCTTTATTTGGACAGCAAAGACAGAACCTTGGTCCTGGATAGCTTGATTTTGCTGCAAGTGTTTCAGGTGTGAGTGCTTTAAAAGGTGTTCCAAAATGCTCTGCTGTGTTTAATCTAATACTCATTTTGAAGCAAAGTGTTGGGTTGTGGTTTTGGTTTGTTTCTTGTTGTTTTTTTTAATGAGTGGAAAAATCAATGTACTTAATTTCTTAGAATTAAACGTGTATTAAAAATCCCCCAAACTGACCTGGATTTGTCTCACAGAGCACCTGGGTGCTGCTGCAGGGCTCTGTTTTGTGGTTCTTCTCTGAAGGAACATCTTTATCTGGAACTGCCCAGCAGAGAAGCTGAAAAGGCTCTGCTCCCCAGGAAAACTGGGAATTTTGCTGGGCTGCACTCTCCACTGACTCTGGAGCCTCCTGATGGCTCGATTATATTTTAAGAGTGATGTTTTGCTCTTCCTCTTCAATCCGGGTCTGGTCCCTGGAGGTGAACCCAGCCAAGACAAGGGGAAGTCCCCAGCTGTGCTTTCTCTCCAGAAAAACGGAGAAAGCAAGGAGAAGAAAACAAATCCTAACGTTTTTCTAACACTGTCCTTTGCCTGAGAGAGATGGGGTGGCTTCTTTGATGTCTCCAGACAGGGTTTGGCTTGATCCTATCAGAGCTGCAGCGCAGAAAAAGGTTGGAGGGGAAAAGTGAGACAGACTGGCAAAGGTGGAACAAATAGGTTTGAGATAAATTTTCTGTATCCCAGGGTTCATAATTACACTGGAAACACAATTTAGCATTTTTTGCTTCGGCTTTTCTGGGAGGGGAATGGGTGACTAGAAACTCAGGTGTGGCAGTCTCCAACACTGGTTGTTCTGTTTAACTCTACCTGGATGCAAGATACAATCTTGAAAATATTTTAAATAGGGAACTGCTTCAGCAAGATGGATTTGTGCATCTCATTTACAAAGTATGTTTTTAATGCCTTTCTGAAATCCAAACTTATGCAAAATGGGGCTTGTTATGCATGTCTCTGCATTTTAATCTCCTGCAGTGATTTGTCAGTTTTCCTTAACATCTCCCTGGCATATTCCAGCCATTCCCCAACTCTGCTCCGTGGAGCTGTGTCTCTGCCTTAGCTCAGTTCTCCCAGCAAGGAAGGAATCGCAGTTCAGTTGTTCTCTGGTAAGGTTTGTGAGCTGCCATGCCTATTTCCTCAGCCTGGGATCAGCACCAGCTGTGGACTTAAACACCAGGAAACCCTGAGTGTAATTCAGGATAGAGTCTCCTTTATTTTCTGCTTCAGCTGTCCTGGGAATGTTCTTGTTCCCATTGATTTGTGCTACTTGTGTTTCTGCTCTGCATCGATAATTGGTTACTGATTTATTTTTTCTGCTTGGAATGGATAAAAATAGCTCAGCTACCCAAAGTGTTGATGTGATTTTATTTCCTTTTTCCCCCCTTCTTTCCAGATGGGCTTTCTGGCAGAGACCAGCCAGTGGAGCTGTTGAATCCACCTCGAGTGAACCACATGCCCAGCTCTGGTAAGGAAAAAACCTCCTATTAAACCTGGTTCCTGTTCTGGGGGGTGCAGGAAAAATACTCTGCAGCTCTGCCTTGCAAGTGGGAGAGCAGAATGCAAATGCAGAGTGCTGGAGCAGAGTCTGTCAGGACTTGCACACCTCTGCTTTCCCAGGCTGGGAGAGTGGGATTTGGGAATGGAGCACAGCAGCCCTGGGAGCAGCAGGGGGCTGGGGGGAGCACAGCCTGGTGGGAGATGCTTGGTTTGCCTGAGAAAGGAGGGGACAGGAGAACAAAGCAGCATCTGAACGAGTCCTTTCCCAGCCCAGAAGGAGCTTTTGGAGCTGCTGCTTCTCAAGAGGGAGAAGGAACAGGGAGCCAAGGCCAGGCTGATCAAAGTGTGTCATGCCAGGCTCTGGGCTGTTTGCTCTTCTCCCTCTCCTAATGATCCTGCCACGGCATCTCCGGGGGCTTGTCCTGCTGCTCCTCATCCTGCCTGCTCCTCACCGAGCTGGGAGAGCTCTTGGAGCTCAGAGCTGCAGCTCTACAAGTGATGGAAACCAAAGTTCTGCTCCCACTACCTGGAATTCTCTGGGAAACTGCTGCTGGCTCCTGTGTTTCCCTCTTCCCCAGGTACAAGCAGATATTTATACCAGGGGTAATAGGATATAGCAAACATTATCTGCTCTGCAGGGAGCAGCTCAGATCTTTCAAACCCCCAACTTTCCCTTCTCTGTTGCCTTCCAAAATGCCCTCAGGTCCTTTTCTACTAAGGATGAGATCTCGCAGAAGATCTGAGCACTTCTGGTAATGCCAGCTGGAAAGATGTAAACGAAGTTTATTCAAAACAACTTGGGTACACTGGGAGGGGGAGAAAAAAAAGTGGGCTGTGACCTAACCTAGATTTTTGTGGACTTAAATGCCTATCTGGGGAAGGAAGCTTTCAAGGAGGTAGAGTTGTTGCACTGGGGAAAGAGAGATGGTTGTTCACCAGGCATGGGTGTTCGCCTTGGGATTCTGAGAAATCCCCCTCGCCTCCGTGTGCTCCCAAACGTGTCTGGCAGGTAAGGGAGGTTCTATTTTCCTAGCCCTCAGAGGGATTCTCACTTTAGAATCGCTGTGGTAGCGCAGGTCAACTTACAGGTTTTGCTGCCCACCTCGGTCGTGAGCCAGGTTGGATTTTGTGGCTCCGTGGATCATTGGCCAGGACTGTGAAAGGGATGGGTTGGAATTTTCTATCCTCTTATTTCAATATTGATTTTGCTTGCTGGGTAAGTTTAAGGTTTCCTTTTGAGGTATTTCAGGCCAAAGGCTGGAAATGTGGTTGAGAGCTTGGGGAACTTGATGGTAGAATCTGTTCTGGCTGGTTTTCCCCTGGTGAAATGAGGCTGTTTGATGGAGCCATGCAGGTTTTAGGGAGTTCTTGCTGTTTGGACTCCATTTTGAGTATTTTTAATAGCTCACCTTTGTGCTTTTGGCAAACAATGGGACTGGGATCCCTGGGGAGCTGTGCTGGTGTGAAGTGGGTGAGATGGGAGATGGGCAGTGCCACCCCTTTGTCAAATGGTTCTGATAGGAATTGAGCTGTGGAAAGGGACTTCAGGCTGAGAGAACTGGGAGTGCTCACCTGGAGAGGAGAAGCTCCAGGGAGAGCTCAGAGCCCCTTGCAGGGCTTAAAGGGGCTCCAGGAGAGCTGGAGAGGGACTGGGGACAAGGGATGGAGGGACAGGACACAGGGAATGGCTCCCAGTGCCAGAGGGCAGGGACGGATGGGATACTGGGGAGGAATTGTTCCCTGGGAGGGTGGGCAGGCCTCAGGTTGCCCAGGAAAGCTGTGGCTGTCCCTGGATCCTTGGAAATGTCCAAGGCCAGGTTGGACACTGGGGCTTGGAGCAGCCTGGGATAGTGGAAGGTGCTCCTGCCCATGGCAGGGCTGGAATGGGATGACCTTGAGGATCCCTTCCCACCCAACTCATTTTGGGATTGCCATCTTGTCTTTAGGAGTTTGCTGCAGATCTTTCTGAGAGAAGAAAGGAGAAGTAGCACCAAGCATGGCTCAGGAAAAACAAGCTGTGTGTGGGATTGTCGGGTGGTGTTCCAAATCTCAAGCATGACTAAAATAATGCTGGTAAAAAACAGCATAAGAAAAAAAAATTGTTTGATTGTGTCCTGAGATATTTTGTTGAAAACATTCTCCTGCCCTGGTCAGGGTAAGGTTGAATAAACTTGAGTGGTCGATGAGCTTTTATGCTGCATTTCTATTTCAGATAAAATCACTGTGGTGTGCTTGTAGGAAACCAAAATGTTTTTCTCTTCACCACGAACCAAGTGGAGGAAAGGTTTGACCCTTGTTAGTTGTTTTTCTCTGATGTGAAATGGCGAGAAAGTTCTAAAAATCCTCTGTCCTGCAGAGCATTTCAACTCCAAGAAATACTTTCAGCAATTTTATGAAATGGTTTTTAGGAGTGAATTTTGTTGAATAGAACTGAGTTAAGTCATCGACAGTGAAAATTATTTCTATCTTCTGTATAAATTAAGGATTAATTGGAGGAAGGGAAACATTTTCCCTTTTCAAAGACGTATCACCCATAATTTGTGCTTCTGAATTTCTGAGGTGCTCGCAGAAGTACAACAAGACAAAGCCCCCACAGCCCACATCCTGCTCAGGAGTACAATAATCATCAGTTTGATACCTCTGCCTGCTCTGCCTTGGGCTCGCGAGGATCGCTGCGCCTTTGGCCCGGGGGAGGAAAAGGAATAAATTAACTTTATTGAGCAACCTTGCTTCCCTTAATTTTTATTTTTTTTTAAATTTTTTTTTATTTTAAATATAATTTATTAATATGATCAGAGGCTGGTGACACCCTGATTTCCCAGGGAAGCTGTGGCTGCCCCTGCATCCCTGCAAGTGCCCAAAGCCAGTTGGGCAGGGCTTGGAGCAACCTGGGATAGTGGAAGATGTCCCTGCTGGGGCTGGAAAGGGATGAGGTCCCTTCCAACACAGAGAATTAAGTGATTTTCCTAGATCTAACTATCCACTCTCACTTCCACAGTCATTTGCAAAAAAATGATGTTGGTGTGTGTAGGAATAAATGGTTTGTACGAGCCTCTGGACTAATATTGTCCCTTGGTTTTGCAGCTAGGGATTAATCCATGTCAGCTCGGGAACAACGTGAGGTTTTGTTGTGCCCCAGAAGTAGCTACCCTTCAGAAAGTGTTAAAAATATCCTGATATATACACAGATATACAGATAATATATATATATAATAATCTATATAATAATATATACAATATACATAATATATGCAATATTTATATATATATATGTAATATAATTCATATAATATGGATATGTACACGAAGCCCAGGATGGCATAGGAACCTATCCAAACCCCCCAAATTATCATCAAAAGTGAGGAAAAAAATCATTCTGATGTCACAACCGTGCACTGGGCAGGTTCAATCCTGTCCTCTCATTAGGTTATTGAAAAGCTGCAGCTCTTTTTGTCAGGCTTGGTGTGACAATTCTGCCACCATTTAGATGCTCTGGTATAAGATTAGATTCCCAGAGAAGCTGTGGCTGCCCCTGGATCCCTGGAAGTGTCCAAGGCCAGGCTTGGAGCCCAGCTTGGAGTGGAAGGTGTCCCTGCCCATGGCAGGGATGGGCTTTGAGTCCCTTCCCACCCAAACTGTTCCATGATTCCAAGGTAGCAGAGAAACTGCAGCTCAAAGCCTTGAGAGTTAAAATCAGCTCAAGGTTCAAGTTCCTGCAGTACTTGTGATTTATTAATATTTGTCTTTCATTTCCAACCTGAGCTAAATGGACAAGCTGTAGCCCATGCAGTGACAGTAAAAGGAGTGTTTCACCTGCTGGAGGCACTCCTGGAGCCTCAGAAGCATTCCTCAGCAGGGAAAGCCCTGCACAGCCCTTCAGCCAGCTCCCCGATCTCCACAGAGGATTTACTGAACTGCTGCACTTCTATGAGAAGCCCTTTGCAGTCAGTAAATTTGGGGTTATTTATGCAGGAGAGGAGAGGGAGCTGTCACATCTAGAGGCTCTGGGCAGCTCCCTGCAGAGGAGCAGGGAAGTTCAAGCTTCAGAACCCTTTTTGTGGACCAGTGCTGTCCTCAAAATCATGTTTTGTTGGCCGTGGGATAATTTAATGACCCTCTAACTCTGCTTTAGCACTTTGTGCATGTGCAGGGGTGTATGGAAGAGGGATGAGCTTTTTGGCCACCTCTATCTCAACTTCAGCATCCATGTTTCCACATGGAATTAAACCACCTCTCTAGCCAGGCTGGGAATCAGAGAATCATCAGGTTTGGGTTGGAAAGGACCTTAAAACACATCTTGTCCCATTGGCAAAGACACCTTCCACTATCCCAGGTTGCTCCAAGCCCCATCCAGCCTGGCTTCTGACGCTTCCAGGGATGGGCAGTCCTGAACTGATCTGATGCTGGAGCCCAGAATGTGGTTTTCCTGGAAGAACAGGAGCTCACAGCTCCTCAACTCTGCTTTGTTGTCTTTTGTCTCAGAAAACGTATTTATCTGTCATGATTTATCTGTCTCCTTTCTTACCCATGAGGAAATGGTTATCAATTGGAGGAGCTGGCATGAATTATTAATGATTATCCCTCTTTTAACAGCTGAAAGCAGCACTTACATGTGAAGCTCTTGAATGCAGCGCTGGTTTCCTGGATGAAAGGCAGGAAAGTTTGCTCTGCTGCAAGCCCCAACTTGCTGTTTTTCTTTCTTCTTCCCTCACCTTGCTTAGTTCATTAATTCACACCGATCAGCTCCGGAATTCACTGGATTCTCTTAGTCCTGACTCTTCACCAAGTGTTATCTTCAAAAATAAGAATTCTCACCAGTTCCCTACCACAGGAAAGGTTGTTTTGTGCTTTTGATTTGTATAAAAGCGGGTGATGAGGGGAAGAGCCTTTGAATGCTAAAACTTTGTGAAGAAAACTTCGGGAAGGAGGAGATGGCAGGATGTGAACAGGCCTGGAAAGGCTGCCTTG